CTGAAGTATGAAGAGTAGTAAGCCGTTGAAAAATAAAATATCAATTATTCAATAGGATTGAATTTAATGTGATATTTCAAGTCAAAAGTTGCCAGCATTTCTTGAAAATAAATGTTTTAAATTAATTTCATGGTTTGATTCAATGGCACTGGATTCCAATGAGTGAGGTAACAAAGCTAACAATGGACTGGACCAGTACTTATTTTAAACACCAAATAGGCAAAAGTATGATCTCTTACATCACTCCCCTACACTACGCAAAGTTAATACGTATCACTTAATTCTTCTATTTTGTTTAATTTTTTCATGCCATTCTTCATTGACCTCTCCATAATATAATTTAATAAGAAATTGATATGAGATAGGATTGGGTCTATAAAAGGACATTTTATGAGCCGAGAAGACAACATATGTATCAGTGAGAAGTGAGATGGCAGAAGAATGTGGAGAAGTGAAGTTTTTTGGGTCAGGAGGAAGCCCATATGCTCGAAGGGTTCAGATAGCTTTGAAGCTGAAAGGAGTTGAGTACAAACACTTCGAAGAAGACATCAGGAACAAAAGCGAACTGCTTCTCAAATACAATCCTGTCCACAAGAAGGTGCCAGTTCTGGTTCACAATGACAACCCCATAGCCGAGTCCCTCATCATCCTTGAGTACATCGATGAGACTTGGAAAACTCACCCCATCCTCCCTCTCCACCCTTATCACAGAGCCCTCGCTCGCTTCTGGTCAAGGTTCATCGATGATAAGGTCTCTTCTCTTCCTTCTCTTTTGTTTATTTTGCATCAAGTCAATTATTTTTTGTGTCGGGATGTGTCGGATGTAAGTGGACCTGACTTGTTGTAGAGAGAAATCCCATGTCTGATCTAGATCCTTTCATATGATGATGTAAGATCTAGTTAACGTCAACGTATTAGTTACGAATCTTTGATAAGAAACTGAACAAGATATAAGATAAAATTGCACCTAATACCAAGTCATGCTTCAACCTATATAAATTTTCCTCTCAATATCCTTTGAGAGTTATGAGGCTTTTGGGTGGGGAAGTATAGATTAAGTTAGGATTTGAGAGAGAGCCTAGTCTATGTAATAATCCTTGACCCACCCATTATAAGTTTTAGTGAGGTTAATAGTCCACACTTTAATTGCTAGCCAGGCTCAATAGATTGCGTGTCTAACCCATCAAAAATATATGGAAAAAAAAAAACATCTTTAAAAAACCTACATTTAATCAGACACGACAATGCTCAAATATTAAGTCAATAGTCAAATTAAAAAAAAAATTGACCATATAACCTAATAGGACTTTAATATCTCAGGGCCGCTAGTTAACCCATTTTAAACAAATCATAAATAATTATTGTAAGATTCACTCATAAAACTCGTAAATAAATTTTGGAATGTGATAAGATGGTCTTAATTCGGGAGGGCAGGTGCTGCCAGCGATACAGGAAGCAGCATGGACAGTGAAGGAAAAGGAAAGGGAAAAGGCCATTGAAAGGCAAGAGAAGGTCTGGGATATCTGGAGAAGGAGCTGAAAGGCAAGTTCTTTGGTGGCGACGCAATAGGAATAGTGGACATAGCAGCATCCTACATAGCATTCTGGCTGCCATTAGTGGAAGAAGCAACTGCTCTGAAACTGCTGAGCCATGACAAGTTTCCAAAGCTGCATCGATGGAGTCAGGAGTTTTGCAGCCACCCTGTGGTAAGGGACAACCTTCCTCCTCCTGCAAGACTCCTGGCTTTCTTCAAGGCTCGCTATGCTGCCATTGCTGCTTCTAAATAAGATGCAACGTTGGAACTGATGATGCTGTTCTCTGCCTCTTGGAGTTTTATGTCCTTAATATAATAAAGCTGTATTATGTACCCTTTCCATGTATTAGCCTCTTAGAGAGTTTCATTCAATAATAAAAATTTCATCCATTTCACTAATACTATTTTGATGCCCCTCAATCGGTGTTTCAAAATCTATTCTGTCTTCGGTCTTGGCTATATATAAGCATTTCAGCCTGTCGACAATAAATATATACATTGACTGTGGTTCTTGACAAAATAATAAAAAGCTCTCTTTTCCAATTTCATGATAAAAGAAAAGAAGGATTTGGTGAAAGAACGGATAAAAATCCAGTGTTTGTCGACATGGGAAAAAGGGATGTTCAATAGCATTTCTTAATGACCATTTTTAAATTTGAAAAAAGAAAAAAGAAATAACCATGTTCAAATACTTGTGAGGTCTTCGAAAAATGAATAATTAATAATAATGGACAGCCTTCTAGTTTATAAAGGACGTGTGATTAACTTCTTATGTTTCTCGTTGACGTGAAACATCGGGCAAATAACAAAAGAAATAAAAATTGAATATAAAATTTATTTTATTTTTATCTTTTCTTTATTTCTTTTCTTCTGTTTTCTAAATGTTACAGTATAAAATTTCGAATGTCATGACATCTTATATACTTTTATCTTTTATCACACAATACATGAATATAATAAATACAGAACACATGAAAGATTTTTTCCCCCCCCGTTTTCTATCTCTAAAATTTCATCAAACCGAGTGCAACACATAGTCTTCTTTTTCTACAAATAATTCTTCTGATGAGAGTTGTGGGTGAAACCTCAGAATAATTTATTCCTCTAGCACACAATTACTTGTCCAACGACATGGGCTAAATTATAGTTTTTTTTTTGTTAAATTCTTGAACAAAACAAGCTTTGACTTCTGAAAAAGTTATTTTTTTAAAAAATTTTTAACCAATGACAGAGAGTTGAACTCCGTCTTTAAGCCCTACAACAACGTGGGTTGGTCTCATAACCTAATGACATACAAGTTTCTCTATAAGTAGGAAGTTGAGGGGTTTTATCCTGTCTGTGACTTTAGGTCATTAGTGCCTACTCTTTTAATTAAAAAAAAAAAACAGTTGGCTCTCAAGGGTAAAAAAAATCTAAGCTGACTTACATACCCAAAAAAAAAAAAAAAATCTATGCCGAATTTAATCAGAACTTGAAGCAAATGAAATGTTGAGGAGAATCAATTTTTTTTTTCCCCTCGGTATTGGAAAAATAGATTTAAATACTGGGAAAAACATTTACATTAGCCGTAAATTTTTAAATTTTAATATTAAATAGATAAAGTATAATAAATATTACAATATATTATAGACATCAAAATGATATTCATCAGCATCAGCTGCAGCAGAAGATTTTATAAAACTCATATTGCTAAGTTATTGAAGTTTTATTAACTTTGTTTTGTTTAGTTAAATATTTCTTGGCCTACCATTAAATTATTGGATTCCTTTGATATAATTTTGGACGGCACCTATTAAAAGTAACACCTGCTGGGTTCATGAATTGTGATTGCTCATGCTCATTGCTCAACATGGATGGGAATAGGATCCTTAAGGTGGTGTATTTGGTGGGATGGCATCAGAAATTATTCCATTCCAACAGTGATTCTTGCTAATAAATAATGCATTTTGTATTCCTTCCATCAAGTTGCATTTGTCCTCATCATGTGCCATTCATTTCAAATTAATTTTTAATGTTATATTATTAAAATAAAAAAATTAATATTAAATCTATACTGTTCAAAATACATTTACACAATTAATTTATAAAAATTGTAATATTTTTAAGTATTAAATTACATCACTTAAATTTTATTTGCACTGTTCAAAGTATATATAGATAGTCAATTTATAAAATTATAAAAATTAATATTAAATTAGAGAGTCCAAATTAAATATATACTAACCAAGTTGATGGTGAATAGATTTATTAAAAAAATTATTTTAATAAATATAAAATAAAGTGAAAATAAAAGTGAAAAGATTTAAGTCTGAACAATTCAGATTTCATCAAGGGTAATAAAGGTCATGGTGCTTATCCTATGTTGAGCACCAAAGACAGTTCAAATTTAATATTAAAATTTTTATAATTTTTATAAATTAACTATCTATATATACTATGAAAGTATATATTTAATATTAAATTTTTTATGATTTCTAAAAAAATTTATTTTAATAATATAATATTAAAGATATTTAAAAATTAACTTAAAATAAATAGCATAGAACATTCTAAAATTGAATGAATGGTATAGATCACCCAAAATGGTGATGACCACTCCTTGCTTATCATGCTAATGAATACAAAATACAAACGCCATCAAATCATGAAATATCACTGTTCTTGTCAGAAACATTTATGAATTTACCTTCTTCCTTTTTACTTTTCATAAACTGTAGTGAGCAAATTTTTTTTATAACAATAAAATCGAGGGAATTAATTATTTTTACAAAAAAAAAATTCCTTGGTCATTCAAAAAAAAATAAAATCTCTTGACTTTTCAAATCTCCACTATGTAATAAAATATACTTACAAATCAATGAAATTAGGAAAATTAAATATGTTTGCAAATTAAAAAAACCAGTGTAATTTTTGCAAGATGCGTAAATATTAAGAAATATGGCATCCCATCCATAGATTTTATATAACATGACTTGCTAAAATTTATATATTATATATAAATTAAAATTTTCATATCTTCACTTTTTTTTAGTAACGAGATGTAGATTGTAATTTTTAGAAAAATAAGAGAAGGTGTAGGTCAGTCACTCGGATTCTTTTTTATTTTCCTTTCTTATCATTATTTTTGCTATTATAATTTTTCTTTTTTGCTATAACTTTTTTCTCATACAGAAATAGTATTAAGGAGAACTCGAATTCAGCTGAGCAAGGTTTTGTTGGGCAGAATCATTCGTAAAAAGACAAGGAAAAAGCAAAAGGCATCAATTTGTGCTTCTATCCCTCTTCTCTTTGATTATAGCCACGGCAACCCCTTCCCAAAGTCTGAAACTTCCCTCTTTTGAAAGGCAAAATAGGGCCACACCAGACATCATATTCACTTGTTACTTTACGCCTCTTTCTAGGATTTCTGCCAAGACACCGACTAAACATAAAACACTTCAAACATTACATGGACAGATTTTTATCCTTGAAGAAAGAAGCACTCGAATTACATTATTCTTTAAAAAAAGAGTCTAGGGTAGACAGATAATCTCAACATAACCAACATGATAGAATATGATTTAATAGGTTTCAAACTGTTCCAGATAATCTCATCATCAGGACTAGTTGCTACTGCTTGAATCCTTCACGATGGTCACCGGGCAAGGAGCATGAGTCATCACAAAGTTGCTGACACTTCCCAATATAATCCTGTTTTAATAACGAATCAACCAACCCAAAAACTCTATCATTAGACCCACATCACAATACATTAACACGGAAGGCCCTCTTAATTCCCACAGAATAGTTGAGAGGTTTGTCTGGTTGGTTGATATTTTCATCGATAAAGTAGGCAAAAAATCATTATCATCAAATCAACCCAGCCCGATAGGAACCAAGAACACATTCACATCTTTAGCTATGTGAAATGCTGAATTACCCATATGGCGTGATCCACTATTTCCCAAATATTTTTTGATAAATGAGACGCTAACTAATCTTTCAAATAATAACTTCATTCTAACCATTTTATCTTCACTACGACAACTTTTTTCTAATAACTATAATAAGATGTTGGTAAAATTCTGAAAGCTCTCAAATATACTCGGACAGTTATTTCTTCAAATGGTTACTATTTATTCTTATAGATTGAGAAAGTTATCTATAATTTTTTATATACTAATATCTCATTGTTAATATTAAAGAAATAATCTTAGTTGTTGCAATAATGTTAAAACCATTGAAAATAAGCAGTGCACTAAAGTCAGCAATACCAGAGGGATTGTTAGTGAGTTGTAAAGGGTATTCTGGTGAAAGCAAACTATATTTTTGGTCTTCTCTAGTCCTTTGCATCAGCTTACAAATATTTTGACTATTCTACAATAATTTTCTAAAAATAATTAATGTTGGCCCAATCAATAAATTTTCAAAATCAAATTGATGATTCTGACTGTTCTACAATGACACGGATGAACAGCTAGGATATATCCAGAGGAAAAAATCAATGTCCCCCATACGTAAGTGGATTTTCCTCACACACATCACGACGTGAAAGACTGAAATAATATCGCTAACTTGTTTGAGACACAACTATCAAAGAATTGGAAAAGCACGAACCTTCTGAGAGTGCTAAGGCCCCTGCTTCCCATGACCAGCGAATCCAACTTCAGATCTTCAATGGCATCCAGAAGTTTCTCCCTCGCATCACCCCAGTATATTTTTGTCACAATGTTCACCTATAACTCAACTTTACTAATTAGTAATAAGCACCACAATTTAATCTGCAGGATCTTAAACCCTGAAGTTTTAATTTAAGCAAGAAGCTGTAAAGCATATTTCAATTTTACTCCTGAAAAACTAAAGAATGCTCCGTGATTACATTCACTAGTACCGAAAATTAGATAAGCCAGAGAATTCCAGGGTCAAATATTTAACACCATCAACTTTAAAAGAGAAAGAAAACACGGGAGGAAAATATACCTCTTTCTGTCTAGCACCAGTGTCAAGCAAATCAAGAACCTCAATATCAGTCTGAACACCATACTTCTTCATAATCTCTGGCTCTCTGAACTCAGTCAAAGGAATAAGAGCTGGAAGAAAAGAAAAGGTTAAATTAAATCAGATCCAATTCAAGACGATGAGCACAAGGTGAAATGTCCAAATATCTTACGTCAGTGCACAGTTCAACGCCAAACACTTGTCAGACAAAACACTAGTCTATTCATAGATTAGATCTGAGAAGCACAACTACGGAAAATGTATACATAAAAAATACAGGTATGAGATACGTATGGAACGCGAGTTGGCTCCGATAATTGAACTATCGAAGTATCGGTGGGATGAAAAGAAAGTAAAAGGAAATCTAAGAAAAAGCGTAAGAAAATGACTCACGAGAACCGGATTGAGCCCAAAGCTGGTTACGGGACTCATCGAGGGAATTGGGATTGATGTGGATGATGTAAAAGGTGTCGCCCTTATCGGCCAAATTGTCCAGAGCCCATTTAAGAGCGTTCTTGCTGCTTCTGGAGAAGTCGAGGGCGACACCGATTTTCCGATCCTTTACCATGGTCTTCTTCTCTTTGTTTCTCTGCGCCTGTGAGTGCCAGAGCTTGTGTATCGTCACAAGCAATGAAGAGAATCCAGCAAATGCTTTTGGCGTGAGGATGCGAGTGTGGACACTGGTGAAAAGGCAAGCGGCCGAGGATTATAGGGGAAAGGACGTTCATGGGCCCTGTAAAGTAAGTTAATGTTGATAAAGGCCCTTCATTTTCGAAAATCTTAGTAAGGATCCAATGATAAGAAAGTCAATTTGAAAGGACAAAAGCGTCATTAAAACTTGAATATAAAATTACTTTAAAAGATATTTAAATCTTACGGGGCTTTGTTCTTATCCTTTTTATTGAAAAGAAAAACATTCTGAAAGATCTTATTTATTATTCAATGTTTTTTTATTAGGAATTGGCTTTCCTTCTTTTCAGTCGTTAAATTAGATTTCATGATTTAAATTTAATTTAAACGGCTTAAATTTTTAATAAAAAATGCAATACTTTTTATTACATTATGTTACTTCCATGGTTGTAAATGTCATTTTAGCCTTTAGAGAGACAGGTGGAAGTAAGATGCCCATGGTGTCAGAGAATTTCATAATATGGTACGGCCCTAAATAATTAGTATATTCGCACCGGGTAATGGCGGTATTTTTTGTTGATATTAATATAATTATTGATATTGGTTATTGATGTATATAATATGAAATCTATAATAGAAATTAGTAGCACTGTTTATAATTTATTGATTTTAATATTATTATTGATTACTTGTTTTATTTTGCCCATGACTAGAGCAGATAATTCGAGTCAAGTCTAATGGGCCAACCCGAACCCACCTGAAAAAATCAAAAATGGGGCTAGCTTTTTTAAGGAGGTAGGATATTTCAAACTTAATCCGAATAAGTCTGATTAAATTGAGCCCAATCATTGAAATTTACAGTTCTATATGTATATAAAGTTAAAAATTTTGGTCAAACCCAACGAGCCAACTCAAATCGCTTGAAAAAAGTTAGGATCAAAATTAATTATATGTATTTTTTAAGAGAATATGATATTTAAAGTTTGATCTAAATAAATTCAGCCTGTCTAAATTATGATGGTGATGTGCCAAATTATTATTGCAATTTGTAAGGGAACAAGTCAAGCTCTCTTAAACAACAAAAATTATAATTACAGCTATATTCATCTTTAGACTTTTGTATGGAGGTTAAAATCTTTGTTTGATTTTGTCTCTTAGCGGTCATCGTTCTTTATTTTTTTCCCCTTAAAATCCGTCTTTTGTGAGTTTTGTGCATCCACTTAAGAGTCAGCCTCATATTTCTGCTTAATTCTTAAATAAAAATTTAGATAAATTAGCCTACTAACATAAAAATATTTGTATCCAAAAAATATAAATTAAATATTTAAAAATTTAAAAATATAATCAGTTCATGTTGATATACTAAAGTTTATTATTAAAATTTTTGAAATTTACAAATATTTATTATTAATATATAGCAGTGAATTATTAACAAATATAATAAATAAACTATGATAAAAAATATAATAAATATTAAATTATTTATTTATTTTAATTTTATAACATCAGATATATCTACAAAAGTCACTAAAAATTTTGTGATGATGAAAAGCAGGCTCACATTATTTTATCCAAAAAAAAAGGGCTGGCTCACAAATCTTTTATTCTGATCTCCTGACTCATGCGACGGTGATTTAAGATATAAAGTAATTAATGGAAGTATTTTAATAAAACAGTTGTCAACTATAAAAAAAAATACAGCTAAATGAATTAAGGGAATCTCAAATTAAACTATGGATTTGATTCGATGGCATTGAAAATTTGAAATGTTTGTAGAAGTAAGACGGATCCTCTGGATTGTGTGGAACTATGGATCGTGGATATACTCATCAGTACTCTATAAATTAGAAGGGTTTGCATCAAAATCTGATGGAAGATAAATTAATATTGAAAATTTGTGAAATTAAATAGCAAAAGGACAAAGGAAAATAAATCACATGGATCCAAAGAAACATTGATAAATGTAAATTAACGGATTGATGCAGACATCATGCAAAAAAAATCTTAAAATATCGGGGTTGTCTCATATGGCATCAGAATTCAATGAAATCAGAATCGTTTATTTATATAGTCAATTGCTCCCTAAATTAACGCAGGAATTCATTTTCCCTGATCATAAATTAGATGCAAGTAGGATGCCAATCATGTACAGTGGAAAATCGTGTAATGGCTGAAAAGTAAAAAATTCCGACCATGAATTTTTACCTACTAACTGATAAAAAAATATGTGCATAAAAAAATTTTTCATTTGCAAACATACAGTCACATTTTATTTAAAATAAAAATTTATAAAAAATATTATATTTTTAATAAGTTTGTTAATCACTAACTTAGACAATATAAATTTTATTTAAATGTTTATTTTTTATTTTTTATAAATTGACTAACCAAGTGTACTTTATATAGTTTAGGTTTAATTTTGATTCATATTTAAAATTTTTACCTTGTAATTTTTCAAAAAATATTTTTTGAAAAGTTCTTGATATATTATCTTTATTTTGTATTTTGTATTTATCAAAATAAAGAATTATAAGTACTATAAAAATTTTTAATATTAACTATAAACTGTTAGAATACATTTGGATAGTCAATTTATAAAAAAATAAAAAAACTAATATTAAATTGGACCCTCCGATTAAAATCTATTTTGTACAAATTAGTTATTAACAAACTTATTAAAAATTTGGATAAAAATATGATTGTGCATTTGCAAATTAGAAATATTTTATACACCTATTTCTTAGTAGTCATTAGATAAAAAATCATGATCAGGATCTTCTACTTTCCATCCACTACACGATTTTTCACTACACATGATCCATATCCGATGCAAGTATGAGCACTATTGCCAAAATCGCAATCAAGTTAACGATTACAACCCACAAAAAAAAAAAAAAACAATTCACCTCCCTGGTAAAAATGAAGTGAACACAAACTCAAAGGCCTTCTTCGGTACAAAGATATAAATTTTGAGGGATTAGAATTGGGACCGGAGTTGAGATTAGGACTTTAAAAATATATTTGGTATGAAGTAATATTTAAAGGGAATACTTATATTAATTTTTTTCTAATTCATCATAAATGATCAAAATACCATAATGCCCCTTATTATTAAAAAAAAATATACAGTCATCAAGATGAATAGCGCACAACTCAGGGGAGGATACAGTAGATTTGGAGCTCTACACTTCAGATCTAGAGCTTCCTAGTGATGGATAAGGGGGAGCTAGAGGAGAGGGCGATGAGTGACAAAGGAGTAAGAAAACATTCTCAAATACAAGTCTAACACCAAATCAAATCTGAAAACATATACATCTGCACAGTTAAGGGAGGAAGAAGACAATCCCATCGCAACCTTTCATCGCCGTTGCTTCTGTTCTTGCTCACCCATCATCATATCTGAAAACGTATCGATCTTACACATCGCCCAATCTGAAACAAGAAAATGAATCTTGCTCGCCCATCGTTGTTGCTTTTGTTCGTGCTTTTGTTCTTTGCTTTGCGATGCCGATAAAGGAGGAAGTTGTTGACAATGAGAGGAAGTCATCGCCAGAATCATCTACGGTGAACGTGTCTGAGCAAAAATTCGATGGAGAATGAGAGGGGTTAGATCTGGGCATATCTAAGGATGGCATTTTGGTCAATGATAATTTCAATTTTATGATTAATTTTGCAATGTCAGGGGAATGGTGGATTTGAGTATTCCCACCTAAGTGAGACTAAACAATCCCAATGATAGGCTTAGAAATCCTATTTAAATAAAGGTTTGTGATTTAAAAATTAATTTTTTAATGTAATCGGGTTTAAAGGCCTAACCTTGGTCGGCTTTGTAAAAAAAGGCCCAAGCCCGAACAGCCTTTCCAACTTTGTTATTTTATTATCAATTTTTTAAATTTTTTAGTGGAACGCTGCATTTGAAAAGGGGATCTTGCTAAGGCTTAAGCTCCCTCAACTTTTTAAAGATTGAAGAACTTAAATTAAGCAATTGCCTGTTGCTTCTCCTTGCTCGTCTCTCCCTCACACCCTTGGCTAGTCAACCACTCAACCTCATGCCCTCATTCCTCATCTCTGCCCCACGACTCATGCCCTACATATGAGGGATCTAATACATATATTTAATTGATAATAATGTAATTTAATTAATATCTATTGTAAGTGAAGAAAAAGTTGTAGAGATAATTGACATTGAACCTCCACTTTTATCTTTAACAAGTAGACTCACATCTAAGAGATCTAGTACTCTATTTTTAGACGATGATGATGAGGATTTGGATTTATATTGGTGAAGATTTTAATCTTCATCTTAAATTTATACTTTTATATCTTTATTAAAATTTATGTAAGATTTTCATTTGTTTTATATTAAATTTTAAAATACTTTATTTAAATTAAAATGTTAAATTTTTTTTAAAATAGAGCTTACAAACCTAGCTCTGAACCTTTTGAATAAAGGTTAAACCTTAAAATCAGGTCAAATTTTAGAAGCTTGGCCAGCCCGAATTCTTATCTCTAAGGCTTCCCCAGCCACACCATCTAACACACATAAAATTATATATATATATATATATATATATATTATGTGTATAAATTTTAAATTATTATATTAAATACTATTAATCATCATTAAAAACTTATAATTTAAATTACATTATAAATGATTTTTTATTACATATTAAATATCTAAATGCATCTTAAAAAATTATCTGAAGACCCTTCTATTCTACGCTATATTTTTAAACAAAACAATGCATTATTGAATTTTTTTTATACAAAATCATTCCAAAATATTTAAAAAAGTAAAATAATTATAAAAAATTTTATGAATAAATATTAAGCTTTTTAATTAGACATATATTAGTTTTGTATTATATTTTAATATATTTATATATTTGCATAGTGATTTGTTAATAAATATAAACTCTTTACGTTTTTAAAATACCAGTTTAAGTTACGAGTTCATCTTTATTTATGACTTTGGGTACTAAAAATTCTTTTTGACTAAATTAATTGATTAATGCAAAATCATGCAAACTGAAAAATCTCAAAATGTCGGCA